TTATAGAATTCATTATGAAAAAGATTTTTTTGTTATTACACAACATCGACTTGATTAGTAAAATAATGACTTTTTATGTCACCGGAGTTATTCAATTATTTTCGCCGATCATCAGGTGAAGCGATACTTTTTTCCAGTGACTGTATATAATAATAATAAAGAGTGATCAGAATTTCCGATTTACTACATGGTATTAGTATTCTGGCATAATTTTTATTTTACTTCTTTTTTCGGAATGGGATCAGCTCGGTTAATAAACTGCTGGGTTTGACCCATGAACCACACACCGTTTACTATTTACATACTAAATCACGATTCAAACTATGGTTCAATTATATATACAGTATATATATATTATCACTGGTTGAATAGAAGTGACTTTTTACCAATTGTCAAAAATTCTAACACTTGATTTATTTTATGATATCGTGATATTACACATTGCTGTCTTTCTATTCTGAGAAGCTACCACTAAAAAACGGGGACAAAGACGCTACGATCAACATATTAATATAGAACCGCAGTTTGACCCCCAGTTAAACTTGTGGTTCATTTTAAACCCTGAATTATCCGAATTTTGAGATAAAAAATCATGACTACTATTCATAATAATAATAATAATAATTTTGCTCGTTTTCCTTCACGTAGGTCTGTGGTTTATGGCATTAATGGCATGGTTGCAAGCAGGTAAATTGCAAGAAAGAAAGAACAAAGATTTCATAAAAAAATAATAAACCTTTTTTGTTTTTTGTTAGTCAACCATTAGCAAGTCAAGTAGGCTTAGAAATTTTAAGAAAGGGTGGCAATGCTGCGGTAATAAAAAGAAATAAAGCATGATGCGTTAGTTATTACCGTTGATTTATAAATAAAAAAAAAATAATTCATCGTTCTTTTTTCTCGTTGATATTTAGGATGCTGCAGTAGCTACTGGTTTGTTAATCAATTTTTATAATTATTTTAAATTTAAATTTATAATTTTTCTTATAAAATTTTTTTTTTTTGTTAATAGCTGCTGCTTTGAATGTAACAGGTAATTTTTATTTTTAAAATTTTTTTCCACAGATGATATCTGTGTGCATATTATATATATATATGTAAAGATGTACACACATGACACATGTATTTATATTAGAACCATCATCAACCGGTATCGGTGGTGATTGTTTTTGTTTGTTTTACGATGCAAAAACAAAAAAAGTACATGGTTTGAATGGATCAGGAAGGTAATCGTATAAAATTTTTTATTCTGAAAATTTGTGACTTTATCATCGAGAGTTATTTATCATCATTTGTTATAAAATCTAGATCTCCTAAAAAACTTACTTTGCAATACATAAGAGATGTTGTTGGAATCGGTGATGATCGTATGCCTCACTCCAATATCAATTCTGCAACAGTTCCCGGTGCTGCTGCTGGATGGATTGATACTGTGGATTGGTTTGGTAGTGGTAAATTGAAAATGATTGAAATTTTAAAGCCTGCTATTGATTTGGCTGAAAATGGTTATCTGGTTTCAGAAATAAGTGCATGGCAGGTGTGTGTATTTTTTCTCAAATAAAAAATATTATTAATCGATAAATTATTAATATGCACATTTATTATTTAAAAAAAAATAGTGGAAGAATGGAGAAGATAGTCTTCTTAAAGCATCACCAAATGCGCATGAATTGTTAATTGATGGTCGTGCACCAGTAACAGGCGAAATTATCTATCTTCCAACCCTGGCTAGGTATGATTTTAACAAAGCACTCTGTAAAAATTTTTTTTTATAAATATTATAATAACAATATAACAATTATTAATTATACATAGGACATTTAGAGATTTGGCTGAAAAAGGAAAGGATGGATTTTATAAAGGTAAAAAATTAGCACAATTTATGTAACCTTTTGCAAATTATTATTGTTTTGATACTCATTGATAGATAATTTTAATTTAAAGGTCGTGTTGCTCAGGCAATTGTTGATTTAATGGAATCTAAAGGAGGTTTAATGTCTTTAGAAGATCTTGAATCTCACACCACAACTCGTGTGGAACCTATTAGCATTAATTATAAAGGTGTTACTGTTTGGGAATGTCCGCCAAATGGACAAGGTATAACTGCCTTGATAGCATTAGGTATTCTGGAATCGCTTCAAGAATCTGGAAAAATTCCTGAGATTCAAAAACTTGAACATAATTCTGCGGAATATTTACACGCGTTAATTGAAAGCTTGCGACTAGCATTTGCTGATTCTACATATTATGTGACAGACCCTGACGTTCACAATGTTCCTGTAAAGGAATTGCTATCAAAGGTGCGATAAAAATTTATTATATAATAAATTCAGTAAAATATTTTATTTATATATAATGTACAATGTAGGAATATCTTTCATCGCGAGCAAAACTTTTTGATCCTACAAAGGCTTCTGTAGATGTTCAAAAAGGATCGCCTATTAACTCGAGCGATACTGTATATTTTTCAGTAGTAGATAAAGAAGGAAATGCGTGTAGTTTTATTGTATGTTAAGGAACTTTTAAACATTTATTATTATTATTATTATATTTAAATTATATTTTTTAATGAAATTGTTTTAAAAAGAATTCAAATTATTTGGGATTTGGAACGGTAAATTTCTCCTTTAATTTATTTTTTCATAATTCAATATATATTAATATATATATATATTAATTTATCGGTTAATTTATTAATTTTGTAGGCAGCAATTCCAAAAGGTTGTGGTTTCTCACTTCAAAGTCGCGGAGTGGGATTTGTATTAAAAGAAGGACATCCAAATTGTCTTGAACCATCCAAACGACCATATCATACTATAATACCTTCAATGGTGACAAAAGGAAATGAGTTATGGTTAACTTTCGGAGGTAATATTTTTTCTTTTTAAATAAAAATTTTTATCATCTTGTTAAAAAAAAATATTATTTTTAAAATACTATTTATTTAATATTAACAATAGTTATGGGGGGATTTATGCAGGTATTTATATATCGATTATATCAATTGATAATTATATTTATGAAATTATATGATAAATCTACAATCAATCTGAAATCAATCGATTAAACTATTTTTTTTTTTTGGGAATGTTTAAAGCCACAAGGGCATGTGCAAGTTATCTTGAACTTGTTACATCATAGTATGAATCTACAGACAGCACTGGATGCACCACGAATATGTATTGGAACTCCAAAAAAAGTTCAAGAAGTTTTTACTTCCCCAATATTTGTGGAAGAAGGAATTGATGAGAATGTTGTACAAGAACTGAGAAAACTCGGTCATGATGTGAAGATTGTGAAAGGTTGGAATAGAAAGATGTTTGGTAGAGGCCAAATCATTGAACGAACCATTGATAAAAGATCGGGTAAAGGTGTTTTAGCTGGTGGTAGTGACCTTAGAGGTGATGGACAAGTTGTTGCCTTGTATTAAAAAACATATTTTTAGTATTGTTACATCAAGTTCGTCGATCTTTACCATTTACTTAATTCAATACAATAAATATTTCTAATTTAGAGCATAATAAGAATATTATTAAAGGAAATAATATGTCGCACAACATATTTTTTTTTTTTGTTTTAAACTTTTTCTCTAGAAGAAATAAATAAAAATTATTTAAAAATTAAGAAATTAAGAAAATTAACGCTTCCAAAAAAAGAAAACATGTCAAGAAGCTCTTTTGGAGATGTTACAGAGGGCGTGAATAATGCAATAGAATTTGCTCAGAATATTTCTTCAGTGGCCACTAGTAGTAATTTAGAATCAGTTAAACAGGTGGTTAACGTAGTTGGTGCAGTCGGTGAAGCTGTTAAACCATTTGTTCCACTTATAGGCATTGTAACTGTTTTGGTGGGGGAAATAATTAAAGTTTATGAAAATGCTCAGTATAATAAAAAAATTTGCAATGCTTTTCTTGATCGCGTAGAAGCTGCTCAATCATCAGTTAAATATTTACAACGAAGAAAAGAAGAGAATCTAAAAACATTTCAGGACGAGACATACTATAAAAATTTTCTGCGTTTTACTGAGGTTTTGAGACAAGTGAAAGCTTTCCTTGAACAGGTAACTCAACTTCATGGATACAAAAGATTTTTGAATGCAGGTAGTGTTAAAGACAAATTTGAATCACTTGCCAAGGATTTTGATTCTGTTATGAGTGATTTACATTTCACACTAACAGTGTCTGCTCAGAGACAAAGTGAAATTGATCAAAAAAGTTTAAAGGAAGATCTTGATGAAATGAATAAGGTTGATTATTTATATATTATATATTACTATTACTGTTAATATTATTTTTTTTCCCACTTAAGTTTTCTTAATTAAAAATAATCCAGTTTTTAGATGCTATTCATGGTAACATTGTTGATAATAATAAACAACTCAATACAGTACTTCAAGAAGTTTTGATTATAAAAGGTCAAATTGATTCAATGGATAATAATAAAAATGCACAACCTAATGACAATCCCATCAAAGCAGCTCAAATATCACCAACTGAGTTAGAAGATCCTATGTATCCAAAAAAAACTGATCGTCGAGGAAAAGCACCTTATATTATTAAGAAAATTCTGAAAAAACCGGGTCCAATAGATGTTGCATGCAAAACTGTCACAATACCCAATGAAGAGGAAAAGCCACAAGACTATCAAAAAGTACAGGGTCTATTTACTATTTTAGGAAAGCTACGTGAGTCAGATAATATAATAAAATTTTATGGTCTTTCAACTGTTGATGGTGCACAAGTGATGGTGCTTGAATGGGCAGAATTGGGCAGCTTAAAAGAAGTCTATGAAAAATTTGATATTGGATGGCGTGCTAAAGTTGAAATAGCTCTTGAAATTTGTCGTGGCCTTACATTCTTGCATTCATGTTTAATTCTTCATCATGATATTCGTTGTGATAATATTATGGTAATTATTATTAAATAATAATATTATTATTAAATATTATTATTGGTTAATTATTAATTAATAATAATAATAGTAATTATTATATTATTTATTTAATATTAATATATTATTTATATATTATTTATTTAATATTAATATATTATTTATATATTATTTATTTTAATAATAATAATAAAAGATGGACAAAAATCGTAAATCAAAAATTGCTAAATTTGATTATGCTCGTCATACTAGTGGTGTAACTTCCGATGTGAAAAATACAACAGAAATTGTTCATTGGCTGGCTCCTGAAAAATTGAGATATGGTCCAAGACAATCTTATAACTTTAAATGCGAAATTTTCAGGTATATTTTTTTTTAAAAAAAATCAATATTTATGTAATTCAGTAATTTATTGATTAATAATTTTAATGATTTATACCATTTCTATATAGCTTTGGTATGTTGCTTTGGGAACTTGCTTTTGAAAGAGTTCCCTATGAAAAATGGGATATGTCAAAAGTTAGGTCATATGTATTAGATGGTGGTAGAGAAAACATACGATTTGGTGAGACAGATTCTGACACCAAAAGCCTTCAAGAAGATTATGCTAAAATTATAAGAGGAGGTAAGATTAATAATTTAACATACAAACAAATTATTTATTTGAAATTAATATTTTGTAACTTATTGTTATTATATCATCTGATTTGTAAATATTTAAAAAATCAAAAAAAAGCATGGGAAGATGATCCATTATTAAGATCATCACTTCAGAATATTTTCCTTCAATTAGACCGTTTATATTCACAACACCCTAGTTCTCTTACTGAATCAGGCCTATTCCCATCAAAAACCATTGATTTTGATGGATCTTTAAAACAAGGCCAGAAACCTATTTCTGTAAGTGATGAAGATGTTGATAATAGTCAAATCAACGAACAATCTCAAGCTAGTGTAATTACACAAATTATGACTCTTGATGAAGGTATTAAAGCTCATAAAGCAAAAGATCACAAAACAGCATGGACATGTTTTCAAGCAAATGCTGAACTTAAAAATTCAGGTGCAAAATATTGGAAAGGATATTATTTGTGGGAAGGATATGGTGGTTACAAAGATAGAATGGCAGCAGCTAAATTGTTTAAGGAAGCAGCTGATGAAGGTGTTCCTGATGCACAATTAAGATATGCATTCTCATTAGTTGAAAATAAAACCAAGTTTAACAAAGATGAATTTATCCGATATCTTAAATTGGCTGCTGATAATTCAAATCCCACAGCCCAATTTAATTTGGGTGATATGTATATTAATGGAAAACTTGGTGTTACAAAAGATCCAGTAGTAGGAGTTAAATATTTGAAATTGGCAGCTTTAAATAGACATCCAAAAGCTGGTGAAGTGTTAAAGGGGATGAAAATTGATATTTATGCCAGTTAATCTTATTAAAAAAAAAATTAATAATACTGTCATTGATGGTATAATGATTATTTATTTATTTAATTTTTATTGTTTGTAGATATTAATTATATTAATTATATTTATTATTTGTTATGGTAATATTTATTTTATAAGAAAAATTAGTAATGTATAAGTAAGTGCTCAATGAATTGTTGTTTCATTTTCATTAATAAATTGTCTTTATAAATAAATAAAAATATATTGTACACTAAATTAGGAAGATTCAAATCCTCCCTATAACTAATTGTGACTTCATAGAAAATCATCATTGCTGCTGCTGCCACCAGCTAGACATACCCTGTCACATTTAAAATAACAGCAGAGAGGTCAGTAAGTCCCCCTTATAAATGAATCAGGTCTCTCTCCATAAGTGTTGTGTGCAAAAAAATGTTCCTTATGTTATGGGTAGCATTAACATCTTGATTACAATGTGTCAGATAGACTAATTTGCAGACTCTGAAAGACCAAAATTTTTGATGCTTATCAAACCACCCATCACACAAAGAACAGACTGAGGAAGTATGGAACTCATCAATGTTCACCATCTTGCAGTGTCTAGAAAGCTCTTGGTAAAATTCTTTTAGAGGCCTGGAGCATGCCCACATGATGTTGATGAGAATTTACCATCACCAAATGCAACAACTGTATTGTCACCATTACTATTTGTTATTCTCTTGCACAGAATATCAAAGGCCTTCTGCTTATTAATAAAAGATTTCCATTGCAACTGATGTCAACAATATTCACCATAAAAATCAAGGATTATATCAAGATAAAACAGAATGTAAGCAAGATAAGAGCCATATTCATAACATAGTGGAAGTTTTAGGTTTTGCCAAAATTAGAAAATTTTAGGGAAAATCAGCATAATGGAAGCTCGATTTATCACATCTACATATCATTGTAACAATCTCAAAATTATGTTATGTGACTATATAATTTTTAAGTATATGTAAAATCACATTTTCAATTGACAAAAAAATTATTTACATAATAATATTCATAAACTTTATAATTATATGTAAAATAGGAAAAAAAATATAGTTTCTAACTTGGCCATCTAGATAACTTCAATATCCATATACTTTTACTAGAGGTGAGGAAAATCAGATAGTAACTTTCACTCCACTAAAGAAAATTTTTGGACAAAATTCTTTGTTGGCCATCATCACCTTTTTATATTTGGACTCATTGCATCTTCAAAACATTTCCAAAAGATTTTTATATCTGAATCAGAATCCAATTCTGGTTGTAAATTTAGGTCTGTCTCAGTAAAAAGATCCAATGTTTCTAAATCTGCTGCAGTATCTTCAGCTTTTGTCCAATATTCATTATTTTTGTAAATTTTTATTTGTTTACAACCAGATGCATTCAATAATTGTCTCCAAGCTCTGATTTTTCTTATAACTGTTTCACCTTTTTTCAATAATTTTGAAAACTGATGTTGTTAGATCTTTGCTATTGGTATTGTCACCAATTAATTTTGGGAGAGCATGTTTTTAATTGATGATAACAAATTTTTATTAGTTTATGTGGGTCAGAATGAATAGGCTAATACTAACAAATTAGATTTATTAGCAGATAATTTTGTTTTAGTGATTTGATAAAAATGATTTATTTAATTTTGTATTTAGTTGAAACTAATTATTAATTTATTATCAAGTTAATTTGTTACAATGTTATTCTTTGACTACAGCGAATTCTCATTCCTTATATACATGTTGAATTATATGTATCCCAATTTGGGATATTTGGCCCAGGTTGGGATATTCCTCCCAGTCTGGGATATATAGCCCAATCTGGGATAATCATCATTAATTTCTACTAAATAAAGGTCTAATGCTAACTTATTACAAATTAATTAAATCTGCAGGTTCATATAACTAATTAAATCATTCGGATAATTAATACAATAAAATATAAAATAAATAAAATAAATAATATAGATAATATAGATAATTTTACTCCAGAATAGAGGTTGGCATCATGCAAAAATTCTTTAACCGGTTAATTTAGTCATGTGGAATTTTTTAACTGATAAGTTCGATCGTTCTTTACTTACAAAATAATCATGCGCCTGTT